AATATTCTTGTTTAATTCAATTTGAAATATTGTCTGAGATCGTTAACTATGCCCAGATATGTAGTACATTTCACAGTAAACCATTCATTTTGCCTTTGTCTGTCCTACTTTTTTGTGGACAAAGATGCCCCACTGATGTAGATACAGCCTTTGTACTTTACTAAAGCCTTTAAACCTGATACCTGATGGTAACCTGAAGTAAGCAGCAACCTGGATAGTCTCTACTGCGGTCCACTAAACAAAAGATGCCTTGGGAAGAGTGATTATTAGAAGAAAGTTTCTGAAGAGGGCTTGTTTTCCTGGGAGGTGGCAATCTCCTATAATTTTATATTATTTGCTGACTCTTTAAATTGTTTTATAGGCAGAGAACAATGAACAACTCTGTTTACTGGTTTGAGGTGATGTAGGAGGTGTGATCCTCTTGGAGAAGGTTATTCTTTTATTTAAAAAGATATAAAATAGCTGCTTTGATGGAAATACAACCCTAGGAATGGAAATTATGATGATTGTTGAGGTTGCAATATTTTAATGCAAAGAAGGCCTTAGGAGATATGTGCCTCAAATGGAAAATAACTCTATTTTTAACCAGAGAGAGAGAGAGAATTACTATTATTTTATGGTTCTTGCTTGTTTTAGTGGGTTTTTAGACATTTCATCTGCACTAAACTTTTACAGGCTGGGAATAAATAGATTGTGTTTTTCTTTTAATAACTTGTTTTTAAAGGATGCTAGAGATTTAAGTACAGATAAACAGAGATGTAATTCATCCCGTACTCTGACAAAAGGCAAGGGGAAAAGCCTTGAGTTTTGATGCACTTTGCAGTGACTGGATTGCAATCTCTTTTTTGAATACCATGGTATTGTCTTCCGATTTTCTGTGACAGTAAAAGATTCAGTGGTTTGTATGTTATGCTCAGTGATTGCTCTGAGTAACTCCTTGCAATATGTTGATTTACTGGAAGGGAAATCCTGCTTCAGTCTCATTGTAAGCAGTGTTATGTTTTCCTGGATGGATCATTGCTTTGGAAATGGATAAATTAGAAGTAGCCGCCCCTGTAGATCAAAGGAGATAGTGAACAACTCTGGTTGGACCTTTCAGAATCCCAGCCTGCTTTTTGACTGCCAGATCCATGAGAAACCCCCTTCAGAGCTAGTCCTTAATTGCTTCTGGCAATCCCCTTAGAGCCGCTGGCTCTCAGTTGGGACCCTCCTCTTTTAACAGCATGGGATTCATGGGGAAGACTGTGTGCTTTTTGTCTCCACAATCCCAGTTTATGACACTCAGGAGGTCCAGACTAAAGTGATAACAAGCACGGCTGCTCTGTGGAGGGGGTTGGGGTATACAATATAAATTTGCCTTGTTAGTGCCCAAGGAAAATAGGCAAAGGACTGTGGAGTGTATCCAGACTGCTGTCTCGTTCCTTCACAACCCAGAGTATAGAGCTGGCACGCAGACGGTCTGTCGAGGAAGCAGTGCTTATGTCATTCAAAGCTGTTGAGACTAGTATATACCAAAATGTCTGGCCAGTCAATTTGTATCAAGATATTAAATAATTAAGCTTAACTGGTAAAATATTTGGAATCTTTTCTTTGGCCAAAACAGTGTTTAGCAAGAGAGTGTCCTTCCTTGCTGATGTCTATGAAGTGTTTGAAATTGGTAACGTGTCCCAATTTCTGTGTTAACTGAGACTTGAAATCCAGGATAACTGACCCGGTGTTTTTTCCATACTATTGTTACTATATCAAAAACTTGAATTAAGAACATAAAGTGACGGCTTCAGAGATTAAAGACCAAGCTCCTGGAAAACAACTCAGGGGGCAGGAGTTTGGATGCCATTGTATTCCCTTCACTTATAGCATCCCTAGATAGTTCATACCACGGGAGGGAAGATCCAGGCAGACACAGCCTCAGTAGCTGCCTGTACTGGGAAATCTGCCTTAAATTCAGCAGGCTTTTAATCTTTCGAAGCTCAGGACACT